GTCATGCGATGGACCTGTCGGCCACTTCACCAAACCTTGCTTATTCGGCCCAGCTATCCCTGACTGCTGGTGGGAAGCACATTGCGTTGCACGCCGTCAATGCATGCCATTTGTCTGCCCCTGATGCGCCTTCATGATCACCGGTTCCGTTTACAATCTCGCTCATTCGTCTGTTGCATGTAAAGAATGTAACTTACGCTTGTCAGATTTACACAGCAAAAGGCATAAGGAAAGCTGAAACAACCTGGACAGCCATGCTCTCTTTATTAAGCAATGCAAGTTACAAGCAGAGGCCCAGTCACACCATTCTTATCACACAATGTCCGCCACCGCCTTCCCATCTTTTGACCATTTCCATCATCATCTGTTCCTCATCACACCCTGATCGCTTCCAGCCCACTTAAGTACACCCATCGCGCCGCGTCCATGATCAGAGATTGCACTACAAGACGGGTATGCAAAGAGCACGCGTGCGTATACGTATGCGTGGTTGGAGCGACTATAACGGTAAGAAATGCATACAGGGAAGGGAAGATTTTGACTCTTCAGTTGTTCCTTTCAGTTCTTCCACTTACGTTTGCTATCTTCTGGCATTGGTTGTAGACGTCTCCACTGCCACCGTCCATTAATCGCGACCTGTATCTGCTGGTGAGGGCGACAGTCTCGCAGAGCCCCCATCGAGATATCGTCTCGCAGGGTCCCAGCCGAGCTAGACCGATCTCATCACGTGACGGTCGCGCCGGTTTTGTTCCTCATCTGCTGGGACTGCCTCCTAACTCCGTTGCGGCGATCAGCCCCGCCGTCCTATCTCCGTTGTCTCCTCTGTTCATTCCATTGCCTCCATTGAGCGCTGAGCTTGCCGCATCGTTTCACCAATCTCCGGCCATCGAACCCGTGACTAACTTCTGATATCACGCCCTCCGAGCCGTGCACCTTGGTCGCAGCCAGTTGCTTCTGCATCTCGCTTTACCCGAAAGGCGGAGAACGGCGGCGGTGTTCGCGCTGTGCGAAACGTATTTGGACATGTGTGATGTCCTCGACACCGGCGCGCCAACGCGTATCGACCCCTCCGCGGTGCGTAGTTGCACACGGTCGAGCAGGGAAGCTGTTCCGTCTTCCTGCCTTACCGGTGCGGTGGCTGCCTCGCAGGTAGCTGTACCGTTGCTGACTGCTGGCTTCCAGACAGCGTTCTGGTAATCATCCAGAGCAGGAATTGTGGCGGGGGGCGGGAGGACACACACACACACACAGAAGCAAACAAAAATCACACACGAGCGACACCACACAAAATGTAGGCTTTGTCATACAACATCCAGGCGCCTGTCTGGTGTCCAGCATTCAGAGAAACGATATTCTCAGCAAGTGATGCCATCCAGTCACTGATTATGAGGACCGGTGCTCCCGCTGTCAACACGTCGGGTAGCACTGGAAAGGCGGAGGAACGGCTTGCCAACACAGCAGGTGCGCATATGTTCGGCACGCAGCTATATTATTAATCCACGCTTCGAGCAGCTCGTAGAAGATAATGCAATGGATTCTGGGTGCATGATTCACGATGCGTTGTCCAGTCGGGACCCAACCTGATCCAAACGCTGGGGGACTGCTCTGCTACCGAACAATATTCGTTCGTGCCCATCAAAGTGAGCTTTTTGTTGTCTGCAACCTCGGCAATAAGCCTGTGAACTGTTTGCAAGCATGGTTTCCGGTGAAGCAAAGAACGTGCAGGTAAGTGATGGTGAACGAAAGCCGAAGGCGAGGAATAAAGGACCGGTGCACGTAGACCTTAGCTGAGCTGAAGTGAGAGAAGCAGAAAAAAACAAGTTAGAAAGATGATGAAAGATACCGATATGCCCCAAACACCATCGCGTCGTTTGGTTCCGGATGACACAGGCAGCGGCCCACCGATGGCGATGAGAACAAGACGGACGCCGCGTCACCAATGTAACAAATAAGTGTCGCGGATTGAGATAATGGCGCGACCGGACGTCATTCGGAGGTCGAATTCACTTCCCCGCACCACTGCGTATGACCAGGGAGAGAGAGATGGGACGAAGACACGACATTTACGCTTTGCGATATACGGTTTTGACAGGTGAACGCCAAAGCCTGCAAAGGAAGTAGGAAAGCCCCTTTTGTACATAGTCTTGCTGGATCCCAATCACACACCACCACTGATTCAAACTCCGCCTAACGGGAGGTTTTCATCGTATCTGACCATCTTCTGACCATCAAGTATGTGTTTTCAACTGAGGCAAGCAAATGGGAATTCAGAGTTATGCCATTTGGAATTATAAACGTCACAAGTTGCTCCACCAGGTTGACGTTTGATTTGTCACCGGACTTCTGGAGGGTGAAGGGACAGCTCATCTGCACAAAATCATCGCGGGTGGCCGCAGTGCTGAGGAGCATTTGAATCGTCTGCGATGGATCTTACGCCGCGAAAGGACCGCGATAAAAAAGCCAATGCGCTGCCGTGTCAATGGAAGATACAATTCCTATGATACGTGGCATCTGGCAATAGAGCGAAACCGGGCACAGGAGAACTGAGAATATTGAAATCCTGGCCCCAATGCGTCTTCCAGGAATTAAGAGCGCTTGTTGTTAGGCGCAAGCATGCAATACAAAGTGCGGCGTGAAGATTTACCCATCCAAGAACACTGCAAAGCGTGCTTATCTTCCATCAGAATGTTATTTGACGTGGTTAGCATGTTCCCTAACATGCGCTCTTCTCTCTTTTCAATGATTTAGTCAAGAACTCAACTTTAAACCCCAAACATGAGTCGGAGGTCCGTGCGTGACAAAATTGGGGCTTTAAAAAAATGCTGGCGTCAGTGACAAAAAGGTCATGCAGCAGCTCAAAGCCTGCAGAGGTCGTTTTTAACGTGATGAAGCGGTACCACCAGACTGGTACGAATGTTAGCAAGCTCATTCCTGGCCGCAGCCGATCTGCTCCCACCAAAGGCGGTATGCAGGCCATCAAGAGGTTGCAACGGAATCCCCGCAGGAGCATGCGACAAACTGCCAAAGACCTTCAAATGTCAAGAAGGATCGGTGAGGCCGGTCGTGAAAGAGGGTCTGGGACTTAAGGCGTACAAATGCAACGCCGACACCTAATTTCAGCAGCCTCGAAGGAAAAACGTCTCCACAGGGCAAAGCAGATGTTGAAGGAAATGGAGCGGGCCAGTGATCGAGCTATCATCTGGTCGGTTGAAAAATCTTCACTGTCCAGGCCGAGACCAACTCCCAGAATCACAGGATCTATACGTGCGAATCAACTGTGACCTTTCTGAGGGCAGCCGGGTGCATTTTCGCCGCCAGAAGCCTACAAGCGTCATGGTGTGGGCTGCCGTGGCGTCTGATGGCACTAAGTCTCCACTGGTGTTCATCGAAGAAGTGAAGGTCAACAGTGGTGTGTTCCTGTAAATGCTGGAAAATAACGTGCTCCCGTGGTTCAGAGAAACATTCGGCGACCACTACATCTTCACCGAAGACGGTACACCGGCTCACACCTCGAATGTTTCCCCGACGTGGTGCAAAGACCATTTCAGCGGTTTCTGGGACAAAAACTTGTGGCCTCTTTCCAGCCCAGGCCTGCACCCGACGGAATTCACCATATGGTCTATCCTTGAGAGCGATATCTCGAAGGTGTCCTACAGCAGCTGTGAAGGCCGCTCTGGCCACGGCCTCATCGAATCTGGATGACAAAGTGGTGCGGCACTTCTGTGCATCAGTCACGTCACGTCTGAAGGCTGTGATCCGCGCAAAAGGTGGTCATATTGAAACGTAGCGCTTCAAAAACACGAGAAGAATGTGATAAATACATGTACCTGAAAGAAATGGTCTATATCTTTTACCTTTTTGACAGATAGAAAAAATATATGGGTAAACCTCTACGCCGCACCCCGTACAACTATTTTGTTTTCGGGCTGCAGGGCGAGATGCATCATTGTGGAAACTATCGGTAAGTGCAAGATACACCAGAAGTAGTGCGGGCTTTTAAACCCCTGAAGAATGAGATGATGGCACGAAAGATGGTGTCACACCCTCCGAGACGCAATGCTTGGCGATTACAATAGGGCACCTGGTACGGGCACTGGGCAGTGCCCTGAAATCTTCAAATGTTGGGTAGAAATTCATTCACTGACATAACCATTGGTAACAACAGCTATCAGCATTCCGCAAAGCATTATATAATCATAAGGCCGCGAGCACCAGGAGGTCGGGATTTAAGTCCTGCTTGCACTTGACCAGGAGAACAAAAGGGCAATTGGGATGTGACCTGAAACAGAGGAGAAGGTAAATAACCTGTAGTTACCCAACTGTACGTGTAGGTGGGTAAAAAAAGGTTTAACATCTTGTATAAAACTGGGAAAGGGGGTAAAAGTATGGTTCGTTACATTAAATACGACTTGGCATTCACTTTTCCCCATCACTTTCTGAATGACGGTCACTTTCCACCCAAGTAAAAACCACTCTCAGGATAATGGTTGGTTAGCATTGTTGGAGTTCAGTGAATTACGTTCACATATGGCCAATGTAATTTGTTTGCCAGTCACAATATGTGATGGTTGAGTGGATGGCACCTTCAACTCCCACATGAGAGCTGGGCTAGAATCCCTGCTCCATGAAAATGGCGTGTCGATGTGCGTAACACTCCCTTAAAAATGTGCTGCTACCAGTTACTTTTTCTGATAAAGCACCAAAACCAGTACTTCGTCGCGTCAGGATGATATTCAGGATGACGTTTTTCAAAATCTTGGCCTTACTGGAAAGCTGTGCGGCCATGAACCGACAATGGCCAGCAAGTACAGCTTCGGCATGTTGAAGAGCAAAACATATCCGGGAGGGCGTAAATGATCCCATACACATCAAGTAATAGCAATCTAAGGACCACGAAAAGGCATTAAGCACGGAGGGTCACTCTAAACATGCAGCTACCAAGGAACAATATGGTAACAAAGGCAGACAGTCTCACAAGGGAACAGGCAGCCTGGTCTCACTTATCATTGATGTGAAGGCCAAGATCCTCCTGCTCTTGGAGAGAGGCCAGCACCGCCAGGAACTGGCGTTGATTTTCGACGTCGTGGACCTCATCGGGAGATGCCTGAGGAATGCAGGCAGCGATGTACGATACACTCCCTGCGAGAGTGCTCACCACCACAATTTGACACATGATTTGCGGTCCAAATCTGCCATTGGTGGTTGGATGATGAAGATTTGGAGTTGGGGTGTGCTGACTGTACAATGGTCATATGGTGCCCATGTTGGTGGTTGGAGGCAGCAGGGATGAGGTGCTGGTCTGGTCTCCCTATCTCGTACAGCTGATATATCACCCTACCAGGTGTTTTGGTTGGTTATTCTACGCTTATCTACTTAAGCTGCAGAGCATTCTGTCTGCTTGCCAAAACCACGAAGTGCTGAGGTTCCAAACAGAGCAGAGATAATCAGCTCCTACTACACCAACCATATTCTCTGTATAGCTCAGCTGAGCCCACAAACTTCTGACCTCAGAGTAAGGTGGTATGGTGACCACCAGCAACACCTTTTTGTGGCACCACAGTGACTTGTTGATCTCTACCTCCAGTGGCAGGACAAAGTTCCGAGGGTCTGGCTCCTCCTCCCAATCTGGCTGCTCCTCGCGCAGATTTGCTGTGCGCACCCGATAGCGATGCTTCCTGCGACGCCGACTGCTCAGCAGGGAGCTCATGGCCTGTCAGAAGCCATGTGTCTATGGACTGTAGAGCTTGTTCCAGATAGCTTCATCTGCAGGCAATTACATACACTGGCTATAGGTCATTGTGGAGACTGGTTGAGACACATCACATAATTTACCATTAGAAGAGGTTAGCTTGAATGTTCTCTCCCTTGACACAACATTATTTCTTTTCTTTGCCAATACTTCACAAGTTGATGCAGAGGTTCCTTATACTGATCAACCAGCTATTAGTGTAGAATATGGGAACTAGGCAGCAGGCTGACAATCCAGAAGTTACTGCTGCAAATTGGAGGAGTAACACCTCCACATAGTCACAGATTGACATGTGCTTGGGTGGGGGATCAATTTGACCTCTCTGAAGGTTTTCTGAAATTATTTCCAAGCTGTGTTGTGTAACTGCATCAAATTTTGCATAGCTGTAAATATTGGAAAAGCAGATTGTTTGGTACAAAACACTTTGCTGAGCCTTGCAACTTCACTGACCTACAGCAGGTCCATCAAACTGTGGACTCAGCACAGACAATTTCTAGGGAATCATTTAATCTAATGCAACAACAGTGTTAGATGAACCCATACATCCCTGAGAGTTTCTTAGGCAACAAAACAGTTGAACTAGCAAATGTCACTGACTTAGGGTTAACTATAAAGATCAGGCAGAGGTCAAAACCAACCCTTGTTATTCCAGAGCTTGCTGTATGTGGTAGCTTCTGGCTTCCATTTGGTATTGTTGATAATGGAAATCACATATATCTTCCAGACTTCTTTAAGGTCAGAATAGGTAACTGACCTCATATGACCCAGGTCAACATTTAGTTTTTAACAACATACCACCTTGCATGATCCTTGACACTTATCGAAATGCAAAAATTAAAGCAGTCTTGTACAATTTTGGTTACCATGACCTTTGAAATGTCAAAAAAGGTCACTGGCCTTATATGAGCAACTGTGACTTTTGACTTAGAACAGGTATCCAGGTCCACAATGGGTGAAAACACTTATCTGGAGTATAGCATTGCTTGACCTTATTTCACCTAAGGCCATGGCCAAGGAATCTCACATTTTCACACAAGTGAGTTCACATGTAGGCCAACATGCCCTGAGAATTTGGTGTCTTAACCTCCCTTAGTTTCTGAGATCTTGTGGAGATCAAATTGACCCCCACCTAAACAAAGGGTTTTCAATTGGCCACTCAGAGGTGTGCTAGAGGCCACCTTCTAGGCTGTCAAAATCCAACTAATTAAGGTGACCTGGTGGCCCTGAGTGTCTATGTGCCACTATTAGTAATGGATGTCAAAATCTTATTTCATTCAGTTGAAATAAAATTTGCTAATTTGATGCACACCTGCAATAAGGCTATGCTTATATGCACCAAAGCCAAGCAATAGATCCAACATGAGTGCAAAGTTGATGCACCTGAATGCCCCAATACTTCAGTCACTACCTGAAACAAGTTTGTTTTGTTGAAAGCACAATGACATTAGGCATTTGACAGTACAGGCCACACATTTCCAAAAACTCTAAATCAGGGGTGGAGTTTCAAAAAATAAGTTGAGGACATGGTTGCGCCAAGCAAAGTGGTAAAAACGCCCACAATATGACAACAAATGGGTTGCTGTGCGAATCTGACCAACTTTCTTTTCAAAATTAGAGGGTCGAAACCCACAACTGAATAGGGAAGCTACGTCTTCGTCTGAACCAACTAAATATGGTACGAAACCCACACAATGCGCTAGCCGTGGATAGAAGGGATATCAGTGGCTCCTTCTATCACCTTCATTTAGTTCTACGTGCAACATCATGACCATAAATGACATTTTACCTCGCTGCCTCATCTTGCGACCTTGCATCAATCCCAACACGGTGTTAGCTCATACTGTGATCCTTAAGTTTCCCAACGCACTCAGCTGCTTACAAAGTGACGTCACAAAACCAAAAACTCGCGGCCTTCCTAGGGCGCGTCCGGCCGAAGGAAATTGTGCAATAAATAATTATCCCTCTGATAATCATCCACCAACATTTTCCAGTTGAATTTGGCCAGTCCAGGTGTCGTCCCCAGATTTGCCTCTCATGCGCCATGATAAGCCAACGATCAGAGCTATGCAAAGCCAAAAGTGGGTCTGCGCCTTGGCCATGCTCGGAGAATTTTCCGGAATTCTCCCTCGGTACGTGAAATTATCTGGGAGAATTTTCCGTGTTGGCAGTGCTGAGTGTCATTCCGAAAAATGTTCTAGCATTCTGGATAGTTTTCAGAGATTACAAAAAAATTAGAGACGTCTGCCGACCGACCGTGTCCATAGGGACTGCCCGCACGGGACCGACATGCCCGGACGCAGGGGCCGCGGGAGTTGATTTGTAATTTTTGTGTGCGCCACTGCCCCTCCCCTATCGTCTCTCTGGCCCCTAACGCTGAGCTTGGCCTGGCAACCTTCTCCAGGCTAAATACAAACAGGAATTGGAATAAATATTCGTGAGTTAGCGATTTATTCAGCGATTTTTTCCAGCAACGAGTTCCGATTTCCCTGAAAAACGATTTCAATGCCAATTGTGGCATGAGAACACCAAACATGACCCTTATTTTCAATATCATATAACTTTCAACTTCAAGTCAAAAGCTGGGTCAAAACAATGGGTAATCGATATCACCCAAAATTTACCGGCCGATTTTTAACTTGCAAATGTCAGAATATTCAACACAGAAAGAACTAGCGTCCGTTCAAAAGTCCTGACCTCTCAAGTTCACCCTTGAAGGTCAAATGCGGGCCCAAAGACGGGGAACTTCATATCACCCCAAAATTACCGGCTGGTTTTTATCTTCCAAAGATCAAGACATTTACCACACAAAGAGTAGCGTCCGTCAAAAAGTCTTGACTTTTCAAGGTCACCCTTCAAGGTCAAACGCGGGCTCAAGGGACGGGGAACTTCAAATCACCCAAAAATAACAGGACGATTTTTAACTTACAAACATCAAAATAATTACAACAGAAAGAGCTAGCGTCTGTCAAAAAAAGTTTTGACATGTCAAGGTCACCCTTCAAAAATAAACGCGGGAAGGACAGGGTACTTTATATCACCCATAAATTACCGGCCTATTTTAAACTTACAAACATCAGAATATTTTCCACAGAAAGAACTAGCATCCGTCAAAAAATCCTCACCTCCCAAGGTCATCCCTCAACGTCAAACACTGGCTCAAAGGACGGGGAACTCACTAATCACCCAAAAATTACCGACTGATTTGAAGCTTGTAAACATAGGAATACTCACCACCAAAAGAACTAGCGTCCGTCAAAAAGTCGTGACCTCTCAAGGTCACTCCTTAGGGCGAAACGTGGGCCCAAAGGACGGGGAACTCCATATCACCCACAAATTACCGGCCCATTTATACCTTACAAGGATCAAAACACTCACCACGGAAAGAACTAGTGTCCGTCAAAAAGTCTTCACCTTGAAATACTCCGTCAATGTCTCCCGACCTCTCAATATCACCCTTAAAGGTCAAAGGCTAGCTCAAAGGACGGGAAACTCCAAATCAGCCATAAATTATCGGCCGATTTTTAACTTGCAAAGATCAAAACATTCACGAGAGAAAGAACTAGCGCCGTCAAAAAGTCTTCACCTTGAAATATTCTGATGTTTGTATGTTTAAAATAGCCCAATAATTGTTGGGTGATGCGGAATTCCCCGTCCTTCGAGCCCGCGTTCAACCTTGAAGGGTGACCTTGAGAGGTCAAAACTTTTTGACAGTCGCTAGCTCTTTCTCCGGTGATTATTTTTATGTCGTTGAGTTTAAAATCAGCCGGTA